TCTTGACCTCGTGATCCACCCACCTCGGCCTCCCAAAGTGCTGGGATTACAAGCGTGAGCCACCGCGCCCGGGCTTTTTAAATTTTTTTTAATATATTTTAAGTTCTGGGGTACATGTGCAGATCGTGCAGGATTGTTACATAGATATACACACGATATGATGGTTTGCTGCATCCACCCCCTGTCATCTACATTAGGTATTTCTCATAATGTTATCCCTCCCCAAATTCCCCCACCCCCTGCTATCCCTCCCATAGCCCCCAATCCCCAACAGGCCCCAGTGTGTGATGCTCCCCTCCCCATGTCCATGTGTTCTCATTGTTCAAGACCCACTTATTAGTGAGAACATGCAGTATTGGGTTGTTTGTTCTTGTGTCAGTTTGCTAAGAATGATGACTTCATCCATGTCCCTGCAAAGGACATGAAATCATCCTTTTGATGGCTGCATAGTATTCCATGATGATATATGCCACATTTTTTTAATCCAGTCTGCTTCGATGGCCATTTGGGTTGGTTCCGAGTCTTTACTATTGTAAACAGTGACACAATGAACATATGTGTGCATGTGTCTTTATACTAGAACAATTTATAATCCTTTGGGTATATACCCAGTAATAGGATTGCTGGGTCAGATGGTATTTCTATTTCCAGATCCTTGAGGAATTGCTACACTGTCTTCCATAATGGTTGAACTAATTTACACTCCCCCGCAACAGTGTAAAAGCATTCCTATTTCTCCAGATACTCTCCAGAATCTATTGTCTCCTGATTTTTTAATGATCGTCATTCTAACTGGCATGAGATGGTATCTCTATGTGGTTTTGATTTGCATTTCTCTAATGACCAGCGATGATGAGCTTTTTTTCATATGTTTGTTGGCTGCATAAGTGTCTTCTTTTAAAAAGTGTCTGTTCATATCCTTCCCCCATTTTTCGATGAGGTGGTTTGCTTTTTTCTTGCAAATTCGTTTAAGTTCTTTGTAGATTCTGGATATTAGCCCTTTGTCAGATGAGTAAGTTGCAGAAATTTTTCCCTGTTCTGTTGGCTAGCAGTTCACTCTAATGATACTTTCTTTTGC